CTACAATGAAAGAATGGTCTACACTTTTATAATAAAATGGACAATCAAAGATTGGTCTACACACTTAAAATAAATTGCACAATGAAAGAATGGCCTAAACACTTATAATATAATGGAAAATGAAAGAATGGTCTGCAAACTTATAATAAATTCGACAATGAAAGGATGTCCTACACACTTATGATATAATTGAAAATGAAATAATGCTCTATACACTTTTAATATATGGACAATGAAAGAATCGTTTACACACTTATAATAAAATGGGCAATGAAAGGATGTTCTAAACACTAAAAATAAAATCTACAATGAAAGAATGGTCTACACATCAGTAATAAAAGGACAATGAAACAATTGTCTGACCCCTTATTATAAAATGGAAAATGAAAGGACAGTCTACACATTTATAATAAAATGGACAATGAAAGAATGGTCTACACACTTATGATATAATGATGAACGAAAGGATAATCTACACACTTATAATAAAATATACAATGAAAGAATGGCCTACACATTTATAATAAGATCGTGAATGTAAAAACTGTCGACACAAGTAATTAAAGGTACAATGAAAAATTGGTCTACACACTTATGATAGATTGGACACTGAAAAAATGTTCTATACAATTCAAATAAAATAGGCAATGAAAGAATTGTCTAACCACTTATAACATAATGGACAATGAAAAAATGGTCAACACAGTTATAATATAATTGAAAATAAAAAGATGGTCTAGATACTTAAAATTAACTCGACAATGAAAGAAAAGTCAACACACTTATAAAATGGATAATGAACAAATGGTCTACACACACTTATAATGAAATGGAAAACTAAATCATAATGTACACATTTATAATAAAATAAACAATGAAAGTATTGTCTACACAAGTATAATAAAATTATTATAAGTGTGTATACCATTTTTTCATTGTACAATTTATTATAATTGTCTAGACCATTTTTTCATTGTCTATTTTGTTATAAGTGATTACACAATACTTTCATTGTCCATTTTATTATAAGTGTGTAGACCATTTTTTAATTGTCCATTTTATTATAAGTGTGAAAACTACTCTTTCATAGTTCTGGAAAACAAAAGGATATTCTAAACACTTATAACAAAATCGACAATGAAAAATTGGTCTACACTCTTATCATAAAATGGATAATGTAAGGATGTCCTAAATATTTATAATATAATTTAAAGATAAGAATGGTTTAAACATTTATATTAAAACGGACAATGAAATAATAAAAGGGACAATGAAAGATTGGTCTACACAATTATAATATAATGGACAGTGAAAAATTGTCTATACACTTATAATAAAATGGAGAATGAAAGAATGCTTACACAATTATAATAGAATAAACAATTAAAGAATGGTCTACACATTTATAATAAAATGGACAATGAAAGAATGGTCTACACTTATAATAAAATGGACAATGGAAAAATTGTCTACACACTTATAATAAAATGGACAACAAAAGTATATTCTAGTCACTTATAATAAAATAGACAATGAAAAATTGGTCTAGACAATTATAATAAAATGTAAAATGAAAAAACGGTCTACACATTTATAATAAAATCGTCAATGAAAAAATTGTCGACACACTTTTAATATAATGGAAAAAAGGATATTTTAAACACTTATACTAAAATCGACAATGAGAGATTGGTCTACACTCTTATCATAAAATGGACAGTGTAAGGATCTCCTACGCATTTATAATATAATTTAAAGATGAAGAATGGTTTAGACATTTATAAGAAAACGGACAATGAAATAATAAAAGGGACAATGAAAAAATTGTCTATACACTTATAATAAAATGGAGAATGAAAGAATGGTCTACACATTAATAATAAAAGGACAATGAAAGAACTGTCTAAACACTTTTAATATAATTGAAAATGAAAGATCGGTCTGCACACTTATAATAAATAGACAATAAAATAATATTCTAATCACCAATGAAAAAATAGTCTACACAATTATAATATAATGGAAAACAAGAAGATAGTCTACATACTTAAAATAAAATCGATAATGAAAGAAAAGTCAACATGCTTATAATAAAATGGACAATGAAAGAATGGTCTACACACTTTTAATATAATGGAACACGAAAGAATAGTCTGTACACTTATAATAAAATTGACAAGAAATGGATAGTCTAAACACTTATAAAAAATGGTCTACACACTGATAATAAAATGGAAAACAAAATCATAGTTTACACTATTTATAATAAAAACAATGAAAGTGTTGTCTACACACGTATAGTAAAATGAACAATGAAAGAATAGTTTACACACTTATAATAAAATGGACAATGAAAGGATATTCTAATCACTTATATTAAAATGGACAATGAAAATATGGTCTACACATTTTTAATATAATGGAAAACGAAAGGATAGTTTGCACATTTATAATAAAATCGACAATGAAAGAATGGTCTACGCACTTATAATAAATGGACAATAATAGATTATTCTAATCAATTATAATAAATTGAACAATAAAAATGGAAAACGAAAGGATAGTTTGCACACTTATAATAAAATTGACAAGAAACGGATAGTCTAAACACTTATAACAAAATGGACAGTTAAAAAATGGTCTACACATTAATAGTAGAATGGGAAACGAAATCATAGTCTACACATTTATAATAGAATAAACAATGAAAGTATTGTCTACACACGTATAATAAAATGGACAATGAAAGAATAGATTACACACTTATAATAAAATGTACAATGAAAGAATTGTCTAACCACTTATAATAAAATGTACAATAAAAGAATGGTCTACACATTTATATTAAAATCGTAAATGAAAGAAAAGTCGACACACATTTAATAAAATGAAAAATGAAATAATTATCTACACACTTATAATAAAATGGACAATGAAAGAATTGTCTAACCACTTATAATAAAATGTACAATAAAAGAATGGTCTACACATTTATAGTAAAATCGTAAATGAAAGAATGGCCGACACACTTATTATAAAATGGATAATGAAAAAATTTGCTAAACACTTATAATAAAATGAAAAATGAAAGAATGGTCTACACTTATAATAAAATGGACAATGAGAAAATGGTCTACACACTTATAAATAAAATGGACAATGAAAGATCGGTCTGCACACTTATAATAAAATGTACAATAAAAGAATGGTCTACACATTTATATTAAAATCGTAAATGAAAGAACGGTCTACACTTATAATAAAATGGACAATGAAAACATGGTCTACACATTTATAATAAAATGGAAAACGAAATGATTGTCTACATACTTATAATAACATGGACAATGAAAGAATGGTCTACACATTGATATTAAAATCGTAAATGAAAGAATGGTCGACACACATTTAATAAAATGAAAAATGAAATAATGATCTACACACTTATTATAAAATGGACAATGAAAAAATGTTCTACACACTTATAATAAAATGGACAATGAAAGAATTGTCTACACACTTATAATAAAATGGACAATGAAAGAATTGTCTAACCACTTATAATAAAATGGACAAGGAGAGGATAATTTACACATTTGTAATCAAATGGACAATGAAAAATGGACAATGAAAGTGTAGTCTTCATATTTATAATAAAACATACAACGAAAGGATAGTCTATAAAATGGACAGTTAAAGAATAGTCTACACATACAAATTATAGAATATACTAGCGTATAGCCCGCCAAAACTGACGGGACAAGTACTGCTGCTATCACACAATAGTATACCCTAACCTCACATTTCATAGCTAACTGAACTAATTAAATTTTGCGAAATCAAGTTTGACCAACAAAGAGGCAGGAAAGTGCAGTTGAGGCAGTCAATTGTTGGTAACTTTCTTTGTGAACCAATCAAAATTAGGATGATTCATGAAATGAATTTGTGACGTATTCATAGAATAATTATTGGCAAAAATCAGCTAGATTAACAAATTCTGATATATAGAAAAGCTAGTACGTTTTGATAACACTACGTTCCAATAACGACTTTTATATAATGTTTCTTAGCATTGTCCATTTGATTATAAGTTTATAGACAATCCTTTCATTGTTCACTTTATTATAAGTGTGAAAAATCTTTTCATTGTTCATTATATTATAAGTATGTATAAAAGCCTTTCATTACTGATTTTGTTATAAGTGTGTATAAATCTTTTCATTAGTGATTTTATTATAAGTGCGTTGACTATCCTATCGTTCTTTACTTTATTATCAGTGTGTAGACCACTCTTTCACTCTCCATTTTATTATATATGGATTGAATATTTTTACTTATTCATTTTTATTACAAAGGTGAAAAAATCCTTTACTTTACGTTTTTTTTTACTTGTCTGTCTTTACTCTTTATTCATTCGTTCATTTGGCCATTTTTACCCTAATTCCATATTTTCTATTTTACTTAGCTATTTTTACCCTAACTGTGTAGTTTGTTATTTAGTTGGTTATTTTTACCCTAACTGTGTAGTTTGTTATGTAGTTGGTTATTTTTACTCTAACTTAGTAGTTTGTTATTTAGTTGGTTATTTTTACTCTAACTGTGTAGTTTCTTATTTAGTGGGTTATTTTTACTCTAACTGTGTAGTTTGTTATTTAGTTGGTTATTTTTACCCTAACTGTGTAGTTTGTTATTTAGTTGGTTATTTTTACCCTAACTGTGTAGTTTGTTATTTAGTTGGTTATTTTTACTCTAACTCTGCAATTTGTACTTCCTTCGGACATATTTGCCCAAAAACTATAGTTTGTATATTACTTGACCATTTTGATCCTTACTCGATCGTTTGTACTTTACATGTTTAGTTTGTACAAATATTGGCATTGTAGTACGCTGATTCTACCTATAACTTTAATAACTAGATCGATATTCTATGAACTTTGGAGTTTGTTCGTTCTCAACCAAGGATAAAGATAAGGAACACAATAATTATTATACAACAAGCCTGGTGGAGGGTTTGTTAAACATTTGTTAACACCTCCTCTCTTTCAAAATTCCTTTAGTTTTTCAGTTATCAGTTTTTCTTTTCCAGTGAGTTCAGCACACTTTACATTTCGACATGGCTCAGTGTGGATGTAAGTCTTTTATTCTAATAACTTATTTTGAAATTTTACTTTTGGCTTTTATTCTAAACATAGTATGTAATACCAGCAGGTATTATTAAATATTACTATTTATTATATTATTATTAAATACCACAAATTATTATCAAACCTCTGAAATTTCACAAAATAACTACTTATTCAAATTTATCTCTACAATCTCTTTACAAAGTTTGTCCTAACTGACCACAAATGACCACTTGGTAAATTTGAAATTTTAAAGGTCTCAACAAAGTATTGCAGTAACTAGATATTCATTTATTGATCACTGGCAAGGAAGAACTGATTTCGAACATTCAGACAAAGCAGAATTGTTCAGAACATAGATTCAGGCAGGGTAGAAGTGTTCAGAACATAGATTCAGCTGTAGCAGAACTGTTCAGAACATACATTCAGCTGTAGCAGAGCTACTCAGAACATAGATTCAGGTAAAACAAAGATGTTCAGAACATAGATTCAGCTGTAGCAGAACTGTTCAGAACATAGATTCAGTTGTAGCAGAGCTACTCAGAACAAAGGCGTTCAGAACATAGATTCAGCTGTAGCAGAGCTGTTCAGAACATAGATTCTGCCAGAGTAAAGATATCATCTGCATATTGAATGAATAGATATTTCCAGGGAATGGATTCGGGCAGGGCAGGACCACTGTGTAATATGCTTGTATATCTTTTTTGTTCTTTACAGCTCTTCATTATAAAACTGTTGCTGAATGGGTAAATGCACAAGCAGGGCACGTGCCATATGGAGCTGTGCAGGGCGGAGAGGATTCGGGTGAGCCAATTTACGTTGGAAGGGCCAATCATGAAGGTGATGTTATTCCGGGAAAACTTCATCCTTCTCATGGATGTGTGTATGTACCTTGGGGAGGAGAAGAACATAGTCATACTGAATACCAGGTAATTTATAAACAGGTTATTCGTTGTCAATAGTAGCTTAAATACTCTGTTTAAAAAAGTAATTTAATAACGACGTGTACTTCATGGCACTGAGAGTTAGTCGCCATGTTACTTTTCATAATTCTAATGTTAGCAAAAAAAAGGATATATAAGCATAACAAAGCATTTTTATTTTGGAGAACTACACAGTTAGTAAATAATAATTAGATAATAACTGATCACGTGAACAAAACCGTAACTAGAAATTAACTTCTCTAGGGAGCAGGACAAACAAGTATTAAATCATCTAGTAAACAGGACAAACAAGGTATTAACTCAGCTAGTAAACAGGACAAACCAGGTATTAAATCATCTAATAAACAGGACAAACCAAGTTTTAATCATCTAATAAACAGGACAAGACAAACTATGTATTAACTTCTCTAGTAAGCAGGACAAACTAGGTATTAACTTCTCTAGTAAACAAGACAAACTAGGTATTAACTTCTCTAGTAAAAAGGGCAAACCATGTATTAAATAATCTAGTAAACAGGACAAACAACGTAATAAATCATCTAGTAAACAGGAAAAACCAGGTATTAGATCATCTACTAAACAGGACAAACCAGGTTTAAATCATCTAATAAATAGGACAAGACAAACTATGTATTAACTTCTCTAGTAAACAGGACAAAAGAGGTATTAAATAATCTAGTAAACAGGACAAACAACGTAATAAATCATCTAATAAACAGGAAAAACACGGTATTAGATCATCTACTAAACAGGACAAACCAGGTTTAAATCATCTAATAAACAGGACAAGACAAACTATGTATTAACTTCTCTAGTAAACAGGACAAAAGAGGTATTAAATCATCTAGTACACAGGACAAGACAAACTATGTATTAACTTTTCTAGTACACAGGACAAGACAAACAATGTATTAACTTCTCTAATAAACAGGACAAACCAGGTATTAAATCATCTAGTAAACAGGACAAACCAGGTAGTAAATAATCTAGTAAACTGGACAAACTAGGTATTAACTTCTCTAGTAAACAGGACAAACTAGGTATTAACTTCTCTAGTAAACAGAACAAACTAGGTATTAACTTCTCTAGTAAACAAGACAAACTAGGTATTAAATCATCTAGTAAAAAGGACAAACCAGGTACTAAATCATCTAGTGAACAAGACAAACCAGGTACTAGATCATCTAGTAAATATGACAAACCAGGTGTTAAATCATCTAGTAAAAAGGACAAACCAGGTATTAAATCAATCTACAAAACAGAACAAAGCAGGTATTAACTTCTCTAGTAAACAAGACAAACTAGGTATTAAATCATCTAGTAAACAGGACAAACCAGGTAATAAATCATCTAGTAAACAGAACAAACCAGGTATTAACTTTTCTAGTAAAAAGGACAAACCAGGTATTAAATCATCTAGTAAACAGGACAAACCAGGTGTTAAATCATCTACTAAACCGGACAAACCGGGTACTAAATCATCTAGTAAACAGGACAAACCAGGTACTAAATCATCTAGTCAAGTATCAAACCAGGTATTAAATCATCTAGTAAACAGGACAAACCAGGCATTAAATCAATCTACAAAACAGAACAAAGCAGGTATTAACTTCTCTAGTAAACAAAACAAACTATGCATACACTTCTCTAATAAACAGGACAAGACTAACTATGTATTAACTTCTCTGATAAACAGGACAAGATAAACTATGAATGAACTTCTCTACTAAACGAGACAAACTGGGTATTAGATCATCTAGTAAACAGGACAAATCAGGTAATAAATCACCTAGTAAAAAGGACAAAGCAGATATTAAGTCACCTATTAAACAGGACAAACCAGGTATTAAATCATCTAGTAAACAGGACAAACCAGGTATTAAATCATCTAGTAAACAGGACAAACCAGGTATTAAATCAATGTACTAAACAGAACAAAGCAGGTATTAACTTCTCTAGTAAACAGGACAATATAAACTATGAATTAACTTATTTACTAAACAAGACAAACTAGGTATTAACTTCTCTAGTAAACAGGACAAACCAGGTATTAAATCACCTAGTAAACAGGACAAACCAGGTATTAAATCACCTAGTAAACAAGACAAACTAGGTATTAAATCATCTACTGAACAAGACAAATTAGATATTAACTTCTCTAGTAAACAGGACAAGCCAGGTATTAAATCACCTAGTAAACAAGACAAACTAGGTATTAAATCATCTAATAAACGGGACAAACCGGGTATTAAATCATCTAGTAAACAGGAACAAAGCAGGTACTAAATCATCTAGTAAACAGGACAAACCAGGTATTAGATCATCTAGTAAACAGGACAAGACAAGCTATTTATTAAGTTCTCTTGTAGACTGGACAAACTATATATTAACTTCTCTACTGAACAGGACAGACTATCTATATTAACTTCTCTAGTAAACAGGACCATACAAACTATGTATTAACTTCTTCAGTAAAAAGTACAAACTAGGTATTAACTTCTCTAGTAAACACGACAAAGTATGTATTAACTTCTCCTGTAAACGCGACAAACTATGTATTAACTTCTCCAGTGAACAGGATAAACTATGTATTAATTTCTGTAATGAACAAAACAAATTAGGTATTTAGTTTTATAGTAAACAGAACAAACTAAATATTAACTTTTATACTAAATAGGACAAACTAGAGATTAACCACTATGTTAACAGAACAAAGCAGATATTAACTTGTATAGTACACAGGACAAATATAGTTAAAATGTCATCATATTAGACAATGTTACCAAGGGAAATACAAGATTTTTCGTTCCTTCTAATAATGTCAACAGGTGTCGACCAGATAATTATAGACCACGTTACATTTCAGTTATTCTAATAATGTCAATAAGGTGTCGACTAGATAATTATAGACCACGTTACATTTCAG